GATAATGCTATTTGTTTGTTTGTTGTTTTTATCCTCACCCAAGGACATTCTCTTTCCATTTTTTGTTCAGACAGAGTGGGAGGGAGAGAGGAAGAAAGAGAGAGAAACAGCGACGTGAAAGGGACACATCGAGTGGCTGCCACCCGCACGACCAACCAGGGCCGGGGACAAACTGCAACCGAGGTACGTGCCCTTAGTGGGAACCAAACCCGGGTCTCTGGACCACAGGCCAACGCTCCAACCGCTGAGCCAAACCGGCCAGGGGCTGGATAATGCTATCTAAAGTCCCTTCTGAGGTCAAAGACTTTAAAACGCGTGCAGAGCCCTGGCCAGTTTGGCTCAGCGGTTAGAGCATCAGCCTGCGGTCGGGAGAGACCCGGGTTCGGTTCCCGCCAAGGGCATGTACCTCGGTTGCAGTTTGTCCCCGGCCCTGGTTGGTCGTGCGGGTAGCAGCCACTCGATGTGTCCCTTTCACATCGATGTTTCTCTCTCTCTCTCTTCCTCTCTCTCCCTCCCACTCTATCTGTACAAAAAATGGAAAAATGTCCTCGGGTGAGGATAAAAAAAAAAAAATTAAAACGCGTGCAGAAGTAGAACGTCCAGACTGACTGCGGCCAGCGGTCCCTGGGACCTGGCTGCTGGTGGAGAATGTGTATGACACCATTTGCACCCAGAACACCCACGCAGTCCCATCAGGTCTTTCACGACGGTTCATATTTCAACATATGAAAGCAACGCTCATGATTTTTATCATTGAAACCATGTAAAAGGAACACGGAAAGGTCTCCTGGCTGGCGCCCCACCCCAGGCCACGCCCCAGTGGAAATCCCAAGCAGGACACTGGCAGTCTGTGCCTTGCTGGGCAGTCAGCAGGTCACCTGCCCCGCCTCACCCCTGCCCACCGCTGTGAGCACCCCAGATGAGGCTTTCCGTGGGTCGCCTCCGGTGGCCACAAACTGACCTCACACTCCCCACCCGAGGCTCAGTAGCACGGACGCACCATCCTATTTCCGGGTCCCTCGTGCAAGTCGTTTTGGGGTTTTCTGCTTTGATAAGCGAAGAACGGTGCAGAGATCCGCCTGCACAGAGCGCACAGGACCTCAGGCTCATTCCTCACGGTGTGGTCCGGCGTTCTGCATCCCACCGACAGGGCAGGGTCAGCAGTGCCCCCGCCCCCCGGACTGTCGGCCTTCTCCCGTGGGAACCGGTGCCAGCTGCCACTGGTGTCTTCAGCTGTGGGTGGCATCGGCTCCGTGGGGGAAAACAGACAAGTCCTTCCCTTATATGAAATTGGGCCATGAAATCGCCGAAATCTCAGAGAGGTGGAAACAGCCCTGGGCCTTACCCTAAAGCCAGAAACCACAAAGGACAACCCGATGGATTTGGCTACATAACATGCACATCGGGAAGAAAACAAGCAAAAAGCTAAATCCCGAGTGGAAAGAAGAAAGAGGAACTGAGCTCTGGCCGGTTTGGCTCAGCCGTTAGAGAGTCGGCCCGAGGACCAAAGAGTCACAGGTTCGATTCCGGTCAAGGGCACGTACCTCCGTTGCAGTTCATCCCCGGCCCTGGTTGGGGTCATGCGGGAGGCAGCTGCTTGATGTGTCTCTCTCACATCGATGTTTCTCTCTGTCTCTCCCTCTCCCACTCTATCTGAAGATAAATGGGAAAAGATCCTCGGGTGAGGATAAAAAAAAAAAAGAGGAACTGGAAAAATAAATGGGTAGCACACAAGTCCTGGTGGAGACAGGCGAACATCCCTCACAGGGGAAGCTTGAGGGAAGGACAAGACACACAGCCCCAAGAAAAAGAAAAACGCACCAGGAGCAGGTGCAGGCAGCTTTCGAAGGGCCCAGGATCAATCGACGTCGTTCACGCAGCATCACCAGCAGTGGAGAAATCAGCAGTACGGTGACGAAAAGGCTGTTTTACCCAGGAGGCTGCCAGACACGGATGGAAAGACCAGTTCAGGCCACTCACCCTCCGTGGGTGGCACGGGGCCGGGCATTCCTGGAGGGCATTTTGGCAAAAAGCCTCCCAGTCTTTGGCTGAGGGCGTCTCTTCCAGGCATGTATCCCGAGGACACACTCAGCCGCTCCAGAGAACGGATCATCGAAGGTCACCGTAGCTTTACCTAAAAATCGTGAGAGCACACGCCCAAGTCTTTACAGCCTATGTTCCTGGGTTGCTCGGTGATGAATGAGACACGGTTCCCCAAATGTTGGGTAATGGATGTGTTGTTGTTAATCCTCACCCGAGGATATTTTTCCATTGATTTTTTTAGACAGAATGGAAGGGAGAAAGGGAGGGACAGAGAGAAACATCCGCGTGAGAGAGACACATTGACTGGTGGCCTCCCCAACGACCCCTACTGGGGCTGGGGATCGAACCTGCAACCTAAGTACGTGCGCTTGGCTGGGAGTCCCACCCGAGACCCTTCAGTCCGTGGACAGATGCTCTAACCGCTGAGCCAAACCCACCAGGGCTGTTGATGAGTATCACTCTTATAATGAGAAAATGTTCTTCATTCACTGAAGCATTAAAACCGTGTTTTAATGGGTTTCTGGACACTTGGCCCCCAAATTCCCTAGACCAGCTAAGACTAGAAATGTCCCCTTTCTCATGCTCTATAGGAAAAAGCCTCTGTTTTTTTTTTTATTGTATCAAACCTCTGGCATTTTATCCAATCTCTGGCATGAATGCCTAGTTCAGCCCCAAATCTGTCTGTGGGGGACCATGGAAGATGTCCAGGTCAGGGGGGATGTGGGGGTGCTGGAAACAGCCTGCAGGTATGCACGGGGAGCCGGTCCCCATCCCTCCACGCTGTCCTCCAGCGCCCACATATTCTCAGCGGCCCGACGCCCGATTGAGTGCCGAGGGTCTCCCTGGTCAGGTCCTAGGCTTCCACCAAGCCGGGGCTGGAACCCTGCCGGCCTTGCTCTCCGGGCTGCGGGCTGCGGCCGAGGCCAAGGGGCCGGAGGCCTGGGCAGTCGCCTAGAGGGGAAGCTGACTCTGCAGCGCGCAGCTGGGGGGACCTGCGGACGCGGCGGGGGGACCCACAGGGGCCAGCTCGACCCGCAGGGAGCTTCGCCCGCGGCGGGAGGAGGTGCACCGCGGCGGGGGTCACCCTGGGCACGCCGGGCACGCCGGGCACGCGGGAGCTGCCGGTCATCACAGTGGCGGCCTCCGGACAGCAGCCGTCCGCGCGCCCCCGCGGCCCCTCTGCGTGGAGGGGGGGCGGGCCCTGGCGAGGGCCCTGGGGACCGGGTCGACACCCCCGGGGTCCCCCTCTGCCGGGGTGGGTGGGGGCCAGACGTCCCGGAACAGCGACCCCCCCGGGGCGCCCGCGCACGCCCGGCCTGTCCGAGAGGGGCGGGGGGCGCCCCGGCCTCCGCGGCGGCCGGCAGGTGGGCGCGCGCTCGCCGGGCGGGGGTCCGGCCGGGCCGCGCGCCTCCCCCGGAACTCGGCCGTGCCATTCCCATGATGCCCAGCCACCGGGCACGGCTTCCGGAGCGCGGCCGCCGCTCCCGCCGCCGCCGGTAGGTCGGGGAGGGGGCGCCGGGGGCCGCCCCGCCCCGTGCGCCCCGCCCTCCGCGTCCCTCGACGCCGGGCGGGGGTGGGGAGCGGCGCGGGGAGAAGGCGGCCCAGCCCCCTCCGCGCGGCCCGAGGGCGGGGCGCCGGGACCCCGCCGCCCCCGCGCGCCCCCCGCGCGCCGCTCCTCCCCCGGGACGCGGGCGGACCGGCCGGCGCTGGGCTAGGGGTGGCGGCCGGGCCGCGCGAGGTGAGCGCCGGGCGGGCCGGGCGGGCCGGGCCGGCGGGCCGGCCGGGCCGGGGCGGGGGGTTGGCGGGCAGGCCGCGGACGGCGGCGCCGGGCCGGGAAGGGCGCGCGGGGCGGGGGCGCGCTCGGCGGGCGCCGGGGGCTGGTGCTGCCCGGGCGGCGGTCACGGCCCCGAGGCCGCCCGTGGCCCCGCCTCCGCGCTGCCGGCCCCCCGCATTCCTGGAAGCCGGGGGACGAGGGGCGCGGGGCGCACCCAGGTGAGGCGCAGGTGAGGGCCCCGGGGCAGCTTCCGGCCGCCCCCCCCCGCTCCCGCCCTCGGGGGGGCCCCCCCGCCCCCCGCGGAAGGACAGGCTCCGCGCAGCTTCCGGGAGGGTCACAGGCGCCCCGCCGGCCCCTGGCCCCCAGCAGCAGCCCCGAGGGGGCGAATGCGTGGCCGCGCGCCCCCCTCCTGGCGGGAGGCGCTCACACCTACGTGGCTGAGGACCTGGTGGCCGCCCGGGGCGCAGGGATTCCCGGCGGAGGCAGCGGGGGGACGGGGCTCGGGGCGAGAGGGCAGGGCGGTCAGCCGTGAGGGCCTCGCCGGCCTTGGTCCCCGGGCCCACGCGGCGCTGCCTGTGCTTCGGGAGCCGCGCTGCAGCGTCGTGAGGTCCGCCCTGGCCCACGCCCACTTCGGGCTGGCCTGCCAGGCCCTCCCTGCCCGGACCGCATGCCCCCTGGGAGGTAACCACGGGCCTGGACCCCTCTTGGTGATGCATTTGGGGGCACTACGTGCAGGGAGCCAGGCTGTTCCGAAGGAGCTCAGCCAGGTTTTTGCTCCCTGGAAGGGGGTGTCTAGACTGAGATGCCCAGGGGCCTCCACCACTCTTCACTCTGGCACTGCATGGCTTTGGGGTACAGGGCCAGTGTCCTCACAGCCACCCTCCCACCTGGCTCCGGGACTGGGGGGGGGGGGCAGTTTGACAGAGCCGGGCCCCAGCTCACAGCTCTCCCCAAGTACAGTTTAGGGGAGTTTTGCAGAGTGATTCATCTCGTGCTGCCGATTGTTTCAAAGCCACAGGCTGTTTGTCGGAGACGCCTTCTGAATTTTTAACCTCGTTCTTGCAATGGGTAGTTTGACATTTCAGAAAACTGTGTAGTGGGAGTCCAAGTTCCTGTCTGCAGCCGTGCGGACCACGGGTTCCTCCCAGGCTTTGCTTCCCGCTGCCGCCTGGGGTGTGGGGTCCCCTGGACCCACGTTTAAGATGGTGCGTGTGTCTGAGGAGTGGGTGTGCCCGATTTAGACTCCACACCCCAGGCCTGTGCAAGTCTTGTCATCTGTGATTTTGAATAGTGGTCATAGTCAGGTGGGCACAGTGCCCCCAGCACTGAAGGAACCTCCCTCCGTGGCTGGTCTCCAGGGCTCTGCGGCCGTGATGCATGGGGGAGGCCGTGGGCTGTCATGGGTGCCAGGGCCTGAGGACGGGGCTAGCTTCATTTCCACCACCGTCCTGCAGCTCAGACCTGTGGCCCAGATCGTTGTAAACGGGTTGCCACGAACATTCTTTGGTCTCAGGGTAAGTTCTTCCCGAATTAAATTTGAGCCCTCACGTTGATGCTGTTTCTTTCCAAATATAAATTTACATGTGTGTATGTATATACGTGCCATCTGTAGCTTCAGCCTCTAAATGTCTCTGCTTCTCTTTACCCTGGCAGTACCAAGTCTGTTTTAGAAGGGGGCAGAGGATGCCACGGAATGCAGGCGGGGCGATGAAGACATGCCCACGACGTGCCAACGCCGGCCGCCGTACCAAAACCCTGAACGTGGACTTGAAGAGTCTCGAGTAAGTGCAAGAAATTCTTTGACATGTGGTTTCACTTTGGGGGCACAGATCAGTCATAGCAAGTGACCCTCTGGTCAGTTGCCGGTTGCCCCAGTTTGGGCATGTCTGTTCCCACGTGCAGGCCACGCTGTCCTGGAGAGGACTCTGCCCTGCAGACAGGACGGTGTGCCCGTCAGAAACGGAGCTCCTGGTGGAGAAGGGTCAGTGTCGGAAGCAAGGCCAGTCAGCGGGCCGCTTCCAGCCCAGCCCACAGGTCCCCAGGTGGGGAGCCCTGCCTGGCGCCCTCTCTGGGGAGGAACTCAGGTCGCTGGTTCCCTGCACGCTGCAGAGCTGGCCTCTGGCATTCGGCGGCTGTGCATCCCGTTCCGATTCTGGGGTGGTGAGAGGTCAGGGACACACGTCAGGAATTCATTCGCCTGGCATTGCCTTGTGTTCTCCTAAATGACCGTTTGCGGTGTCCGTCACCACCCTCGCTGAGCGGTGGCCTCCGGACCTCTGGTGTGGGAGCCGTCTGCCAGCTGGTGATCGGCGCTCCTCGGACCGGCCCTGTTCCCAGGTTCTGCCCACGAACCCACGTTTGGTCCGAGACACGGAAACGGGGGTAACCACACAGGATGAAAAGGGGCGCATGACCGTGTTGGGGACAACGTCTATGCTGATTAGCCAGAAATAGGGATACGGCACCATAAGACCATCTGGCAAATACACGTTTGACGTCTTTAAACGAAAAGTGACTCTTTAAAGAGGTTTGGCGAGGAGACTGCTGAGTCGCTCATGTCCCGTAACATTTTCCCTCTCAGGGGCTCGCCGCGCCCACCAAGAATGAGCCAGCCCACGACACCCCACTCACCCACCGGTGGTCCGAGTCCTCCTGCTGTTTAACCTGCAGAGAAGCGTGTGCGGCCTTCATCTCGGCACGTGGGCAGCTTTCTGAGGTACAGGAAACCTGTTCCCTTACAGGGAACGGGGGGCGCAAAGTCCCAGCGGGGGTGGGAGAAGCCGCATGTGCCCCCGTGAGCACGGCAGGTGGCACAGGTGTCGTTTCCTGTCGAGTGTTTTTTTTTTCCCACCTTTTTTTTTTTTAATTCTCGAGGATATTTCTCCATTTATTTTCAGATAGAGTGTGAGATGGGGGGAGAGAGAGAGAAACATCGATGTGAGAGAGACACGTCGACCGGCCGCCTCCTGCACAACCCCGACCAGGGCTGGAGACCAAACCGCAACCGAGGCACGTGCCCTTGACCAGAATCGAACCCGCGACCCCTTGTCCGCAGGCCACGCTCTAACTGCTGAGCCAAACTGGCCAGGGTTTTATTTCACTTTGTTTTTGAATTTTCAGTGCTCGAATTGAGAGAGAGAGAGAGAGGAGAAACGTGGGTTTGTGTCCCACTTACGTGTGCGTTCGTTGGCTGCTGCTTGCGTGCGCTCTAATTGGAAGTCAGACCCGCAGCCTTGGTGTGTGGGGACAATGCTCTCAACCAGCCAGCGCCCGGCCCGGACCCGTCCTCGTGGCCTTCACAACAGGTCCTCCCCGCGCAGCCCCGGACATGGAGGCCCACCCGGGCCACGTGGCCCCAGCCGGCAGTGCAGACGGGCGGCCCAGGCGCTGTGTCCCGCGCAGCCGTGTCTCACCTGTTCGCTCTCTTCCCTGCAGGATGTGAGTCGAGCGGGCAGACAGCACTGGTCCCTGCGTGCCGCCCGTCGCTAGAATGTTCCTCATGAACGCCCCTCCTGTGCTTGCTCTCCAGTCCACATGGGAGGCCTTCGGGCCACCGGGCAGCTGTAGGTTTCCCGGCCGCTTCTCGGAGCCGGAGGGCACAGGGGGCGCGGCAGTGAGCGCCCGGGTGCAGATGATCATCGGCACACTGCAGGGTGACCGGGCAGTGCGGGGCCGGAGCCAGGAGCGCGCCCTGCACAGAGGTCAGAGGGGCCGCGACGCCCAGCCGGCCGCCGGCCCCGCCTTGGCTGCCTGCGCCCTTGCTGCTGTGTTTGACTCCCAGGGGGAGCAGGAAGCTGCCGGCCGTGGCCCCTCGGCGCTGGACTCGGACAGTGACGACTCTGTGGACCGGGACATTGAGGAAGCTATTCAGGAGTACCTGAAGGCCAGGAGCGGGGCTGCCCAGCCCGGGGCCGCCGACAGAGACCGTCCGTGCAAACCAGAGCCGCCTCAGGGCAGCGCCCCAGCCACCCTGTGTCCCCAGAAACGCACGCCTGGCTCAGGAGGGGTCCCCGGCGAGGCCCCCGGCTGCGCCTCCCCGGTCAGCGTGAGCAGTGAGGACTCTTTCGAGCAGAGCATTCGGGCAGAGATAGAGCAGTTTCTGAGCGAGAAAAGGCAGCACGAGACCCCGAAGTGTGACGAGCCCGTGGACAGAAAACCAGACCCCGGCGACAGCTCGGCCAGGTCGACGTGCAGATCCAGCAGAGAGCCGGCGGGCAAGGCGCACCGGCAGGACCCGGCGGGACCTTGTAAGGACTTCGTCTTCCGCAAACCTCCCAGGTTGGCCGTGGCAGCCACGCAGCCCAGGAGCCTCAGGTCGAAAGTCAGCGCCGAGCCGGAGAGCCTGGGCGGGACCAAGCCGGCGGCCCCCAGGCCGGCCGCCACCTGCCGAGCTGCAGAAGCCCAGGGTAAGGCGAGGGTCAAGAGGAACCTGGGCCCTGGGCGGAGGGGACAGGGAACCAAGGGCTCGGCCCTGGTGCGCGAGCCGGCCGACTCCAGCAGCGACGATGGCATCGAGGAGGCCATCCAGCTGTACCAGCTGGAGAAGAGACAGGAGGCGAGTGGGGACCAGCCGCAGAAAACGCCGCTGGGGGAGCAGCAGCCCGACCCTCCTGCCCACGGCGCGAGCCAAGCCGCGAAAAGTGCCTTGCCCGGACCCCACAGGAAAGCGCCAGGCAAGAAGCAGCCAGTGGCCTCGAAGGCCGTGGACCTCGGCCCCGGGGGCCTTGACCCTGACCACCCCTCCAAGCCGCCGAAGGAAGCCAAAGCCCCCGCACCCCCGGGAGGCACAGTGGCCAGGAGCGAGGTTGTGGATCAGTCCTGCTGCCGGGCAGACACGTCCGCCGAGCTGATGTGCGCTGAAGCGATTCTGGACATTTCCAAAACCATCCTGCCGGCCCCCAGGGAGGGTGGTGACAGGCCCCCGCCCGCCAGCCCGCTCCCCGGTCCCCCCAGTGTGCCTTCCCGCTCGGACGGCGACAGCAGCTCCGTGGACAGTGACGACAGCATAGAGCAGGAGATCCGGACGTTTCTGGCGCTGAAGGCACAGTCGGGGGGTTTGCCGGCCAGAACGGACACCTGCCCGCGGTCCACGCCGAGCCCGCTGCCGTCGCCCGGCCCCAACGGGCAGGCCAGTGGCCCCAAGGCCCCTGTCTCGAAATCACTGGATCCGTCGCTGAGCTGCAGAAGAAAACGCAGAGGAGGCGGCGGCGCCGTGTCGTCCACACCCAAGAAAACGAGGGAGATGGCGAAGGAGGGCGCCCCAGACGCCGACCCCGGCCAGGGCAAAGCCAGCAAGGCCCCTGGAAGGGAGGGCGAGGCCAGGGGGCAGCCTGTCCCCTGCAGGACGGTGCGGCTGGGTGGCGAGCACGTGGCCCCAGACCCGAGGGGCAGCCTGTCTCCAGGCCCCGGGAAGGCGGGCGAGGTGAGGAGCGTGGACGAGGAGGAGAGCTCCGAGGACAAGAGCAGCTCGCTGGACAGCGACGAGGACCTGGACACCGCCATCAAGGACTTGCTGCGGTCCAAGCGGAAGCTCAGGAAGCGCTGCAGGGACCCCAGAGCCGGGTGCAGGAAGAAGGTCCGGTTCAGCACCACCGAGACGCCAGCCCTGGGGCCGCAGGGCGGCTTCCAGAGAGGCTGGAGGGACAGGAGCCCGCACTTGCTGAAAAGCTGCCTCTCGAAGTCCAAACGGGACAGCAGGGAGGACCCCCTGAGGAAGCCTCCCAGCGGCCTCTGCAGCCGGACAGAGAGAACGCGGCCGGGCAGCGCCGGGCCCGAGAACGCGGCCCCGGTCCTTCCGGCGGGGCAGGGAGCTAGCGAGGGGCTCCCGTTCTCCAGCGAGGGCGGCGCCTGCCACCTTCGCGGCTCGGCCGCCAGCCCCAGCTCCCCGTCTGACGACAGCAGTTCTGTGGACAGCGACGACAGCATCGAGCTGGAGATCAGGAAGTTTTTGGCCGAAAAGGCCAAAGAATCCGTGAGTGGTTCAGAAAATCAAGGAGGGGGTCCCCCCACACTTGGGCCAGGGACCGTGCCCAGGCCAGAGCCGCTGTGCCGGAAGGTGGTGGCCCCTCCATCTGGCATGTGCACACGGAGCCAGAGGGGCAGGGGGACCCCTCAGCCAGCCATGGCAGCCAGGGGCGGCCCCCGCCCGGAGCAGGCCTGCGCCCCCGCGGCCCCGTGCAGGAGCAGCAGCAGTGCTGTGTCTGCCAGAGGCCCCCCCGCGGTGCGGAGACCCCTTCACCCTCACAGGGACCAGAGCCCGCGACAGGCCGGGCCTGCCGCCAGGGACGCTGCTTTCCGGCCGCTGTCCAGCTGTGCAGAAGCGGGCGCCCGCGCGGGGAGCCCCGCCGGGGCCTTGCCCGGGACCTCCCCGAGCTGGAGCGCACCGGCTCGGAACCCAGGAGCAGACCGGGAGGGGGCGCCCCAGGCCAGCCTCACCCTCCCGTGGGGCGACTTCGCCCACCAGAGTCGGCTGCAGAGCACGTGGGCCCTGAGCTCGGAAGGCGGGGACACGGCCTGGACGGGCGGCCTGGGGAGCAAGAAGGAGAAGGCGCCGGAGGGCCGGGCCCGGGGCGCTCCCGGCCTTTCCACGGACCCCAAAAAGGGCCTGCCCTTCACGGGCTTCTCCCCACTGCTCTCCACGCAGCTGTTCCACTTTGGGAGTGGCGTGTCCTGGGGAGCCAAGCCCCCCGGCCTCTTCAGCCCAGGCCTGAGCCTGCCTCTGCAGGGCCCGTCCTTCTCGGCCTTCAGAGAGGCCCCGCCCAGCCAGGGCCCCGTGTTCGGGAGCTCGCACGTGCTGGGGAAGGAGGGGGGGTGCTGGCCCAGGAGGAAGGCGCCCACCGCGCTCAGCTTACACGACAGCAGGAACTCGGGTTCCGACGAGGACGTCTTAGACCTGAGGTATAGACGGAGGGCAGACAGAGACGAGGAGGACCCGGGGGCCTGGGCCAGCGACACCAGCGAGCTGAGCGACACCTCCGTGGAGGACGGCAGTCCCGTGGCCCAGAGCAAAGCCCTCAAGCTGTGAGGGCGTCCAGGCCCCTGCCTGCCTGTGGGCGGCGCACGGACAAGCGCGTGGACCTGTGCGTGTACAGTGACGCTGGGCTGGGGGAGCCGCTGTAACCACCTTGTACATATGTACACTAGTGGGGAATGAGGCCCTTATTTAACACGTGTGTCCTGGTAAATATGATTTTTGTAGCTTTTTTGTAAATTATTTAAAGTGCTGTAAAAACTATTTTTGGAAAATACGGCTGTTGGATTTTGTGGGGCATTCGTGACTGCGGTTCCCGTGGCTCCCACAGCACTCACCACAGCGGTCTGTGGGTGCTGCCGTGGCAGGTGTCAGTGACTGAGACTGGGACTCTGGGCTGTAACACCCCTGGAGCACCCCCCGAGCCCCGAGGTCTCTGGAGGCTCCTGGACATCACTGGTTCTGAGGGCCCTGGGCCAAGAGGCTGAGCATGTCCCCTGGACACTGCGGCCACGCCGTGGACCCGAGCGCGTCAGCCCGGACGCCAGCGAGCACACTGGCCGCTCTGGCACGTGGCAGTCCCGGGAGGGAGCTCAGGCAGGTCACCCCGTTCCCCGGGGCCTGTGTTGTCTCGTGTCCAGTCCTGTTCACGACTGCGTGGTTCTAACAGCTCAATAAACCTCTGTACACAGGGCCGCGTTGCTCATTTCAGCCAGGGCTCTGCGGTCAGCAGCCTGTGTGTGCGTCTCCCCCGTCCACGTGCGCACCTTGAGCCAGAGAACGGAGCTGGGACCCCCGGGAACAGCCGAGAGGACGCTCCGGGCAGCGTTGGGAGGGCCTGCTTCCCACCGCAGGGTGACGAGGGTCGTGTGGCACCGAGGCCGGGCTGCAGGCAGGGCCCCGTCTTCTCTGGCCCTCTCGGTGTCTGGGCTCGGGACAGGGAGGAGCATGCCCGCCTGTGCCTTCTGCTCTGCCCTAGGGGTGCCCACGGCTACTGCAGACAGGGACAGCTGTGCCACCTGGGGCTGGGCCCGACTGGTCCCCACGGTTACACACGATTGTCCAGCCGACTTGTGTCGGTTGCCCGAGTTCTAGGACTCTGTTGGGACTTGGCTGCGATGGCCCTGCGGCCGAAGGCACTGGATTCTGACCTGCACGCCTGGGTTTGGCAGTGACACTCGTTCCCCAGTGCACACCGCGCGGGCACCAGTCGGCGTCTGCCCAGGGACGCTGTGAGGAGCCGGCCGGGTCCGGCTGTTCGGCGCTCGGGCAACATGCTCTCGAGATCTCCATTGTCACGTGTGCACTCACAGGTTTCCAGGAAAACTAGCCCCCGTAACCCCTGCTGTAGGTTTTATTTAATTCTTAAGGAGGGTACGGAACGTCCTGATAGAAGCAGCTTGTTTTGTACACGGGAGCCAGCTTTTTCACGGTAATGAGTCAAGTGCTGCTCAACAGCCAGTTTGCAGAGTTTGCCCTCTGCGGGTGGCCCACCCTCTGGGACCCACGTCCCGCCTGTGCCGCCAGCACCTTCCGCACCAAGCACCCCGCTCCCTCCCAGGCCCGGAGCCTTCACACCTGCCTCCTGCCTCCCGAGCCCCACCGGCCCGTGTGGTCGCCGTCACCGGACACGCCTGGTGGTGCCGGCCCGTCTCTGCCAACAAGCCACCGTGTGAGAGCTTCGGCCCGTGCACCTCCGCCCTGGGCCAGCTGGCACAGGCTGGGCAGGAGGCTGCCTGCACCCCTCTGGAAGGGGGCTGCAGGGGGCAGGCCGGAGCACTGTGCAGGGGTGGTGACTGCCTCTGTTTGCAGCCTGTGTCCACACCTCCACGGTCCCGGCCTGACCGGGCAGCCACACGTGGCAGCTCCATGGGCGCTGAACGGGCACCCACCGGGGAAGGGGTCCCAGGTGGAAGATGTGCTGTGACTCCAGCTGTGATTGGAGACCTAGACGTCACACCCAGAGCGCCAGGAGTCGGGGGGTGGGTCTGCGTGCCCGGGCGTCACATCAGTCAACGCGGAGAAGCAGGAGAGGTCTGAGCTTAAGACGTGCCCAGTGCGTGGGGGGCCTTCTGTAGCGAAGGGTCACTTCCTGTTGCTCGGACTCTGCAGGCAGGGCCTCCCAGCCTGAGATGCATTCGCACTGGGGACCCCGCGTCTTACCTGTGCCTATGGAAATAGAAAAGGTGTGGCCACCTTCACCCCCTCCCCCTCAAAGTTCACTCAAGGGCCCGTTTAGAGGGTGAAGCGGGGCGAACCCCATCCCCCAGCCTGCAAACCACAGCCGGGCTCACACCAGGCCAGGCTGCTGCCAGGGCGCGGGGTGGGGGGGCATCCGTCATTGTCAGAACCTCTGAGGCTGCTGGCGTCTGGGGCTGTGTGCTGGCCAGAGAGGGTTTTTCCAGGATCGAGATATTTTACTACGTATTTGAAGCCTCTTATTCTAATTGACTACACGTGAAAGATAAAAGGTTACTGAAGAAAAACGTGAATGAAACATAAACGAACACCTGCTTTGAGAACAAGTTACTGGTTTTCAGCAAACCCAGCAGCTACCAAGTGATTAGTAAGAGGGTTACGAGACTTCCCGAGTGTAATCCAAGGCCCGGGAATGCCCACTGGTGGACGAAGAGAGGTTTCCAGGGATCGCTGTGAGCTTCGTCCAATATTCAGCGAACGGTTTTGTCACCCTGAATGTCACCTTTTCTGTAATTGTTCGGATTGGATTTAGGTTGTGAATGAAGTCAGCACGCTGTCAGAAGAGGTATTTTCACTTCCCATCCGGCCATCTGTACACGATCACTCAAACACCACAAGTTCTGGTAGCATCCAGGTAGTCCTGGGGGTCTTCACTCCCTGCCCCCTCCGTACACAAAGGTTCCAGTGTGAAAAGATGTTAAAGAGGCCCGGCCAGCATGGCTCAGTGGATTGGGCACCATCCCGTGGACTGAGAGGTCCCGGTTTGATTCCCGGTCAGGGCACATGTCCAGGTTGTGGGCTCAATCCCCAGTAGGTGGCGTGCAGGAGGCAGCTGGTCAATGCTTCTATCTCTACCTCTCTCTCTTAAAAAATCAATTAAAAAAAATTTTTTTGAAGAAAATACATCAAAAAGGAAAAGGTCACGAAATCTGAAGTCACTATACAGACTTGTGCAAATGTGTAGGATGTTGCGGCCAGGAAGGGAGATCAGATGCCGGTGACCTTATCCCTCCCAGCACATCCCCAAGGCGGGCTTAAGCCCAGGGCCACCTCCTTTGGGCCCTAATTTTCCCATCTGGAAATGGAGGTGCGGGAGTAAGACTTGCCCCAGGTGTGGGTTTCGGAGGAGGTGACAGCGCCAAAGCCCTTTGATAACCGCAGAAGGCAGACAGATGGGACGAACAGCCACCTGCGGCTCAGTGGGGTCCAGGCGCCGGGACTCGGATACTGGAAGCCAGAGTTTTGGGCAGATGGGCATGTGTGCCAAAGGTATGTCTGGTTTCCATCTTTCCGGACATTTGTTCTATTTAGAATAAATGCACAGAGTCTAACTTCACCTTAATTCATCAGCAACTGTTACAGAAATGTCAGTTATTGACTACGACCAATTAAAGCACGCTAGTGCCCAATGACGATGCCAGCACGCCGTGATGCCCGCCAGCGAGCTTGGTGTCCTTTACCTTTCGGGAAAATAAACATAGCTCAATTTTAATGAACTCCTCAGTCTTTTCCTTTAAGAAACCTTTGCTGCCCCGGCCGGTGTGGCTCAGTTGGCTGAGCATCGTCCCACGCACCAAAAGGTCCCCGGTTTGATTCCTAGTCAGGGCACTGGCCCAGGTTGCCGGTTCGATCCCCAGGAGGAACCTTTGCCTACCCAAGGTCACGAAGACATTTCCTACGCTTTCTCCTCGAAGCTTTATTGCTGGACTTTCTTATTAGCATGTGGACCACTGGTAACTGCCCAGTCCGTGGGTGTCAGTGAAACCCAGCCGGAGCCCTGGAGCCGGCGCCTTGAACTGGGGGCTTTGTCGGGCTTCAGCGGTCTCTCCTCGGAGCGGCTCGGGGGAAGCTGCCTTGTGTTCAGTGCCCACCTCTTCTAAGGGAGAAGCAGCAGCTATTCTGCTGCTGGCTGAACCCCCAGCTCCGGCCGCCAACCTGCTCTCCGGCCGGCCGCCGAGGACGGAGTCCTCTCTGGTGAGTTCAGGGACTTGGTTGACAGGCATTCTTTTCCTTTATTTCATCCACGGCTCAGCACAGAGAGTTCTTAGTAACTGGGTGTTTCTAACGAAGGGTTGTCAGGCCTGATGTTCATTTGGACGCCTGGAGGCTCGCTGGTTTCCCGGCTCCGAGGGGGCAGACCCTGGCACCACCTTTCCCTATTCGATGTCCTGATCTCTCTGGAGACCGTTTCCGTTCCAGATTGGACGTGAAGAATGTTGCCAACGTGTTTACGTGGTGTGTCAATCAGGAAAGGTTTCGATAAAGACCTAACCAGTTGGTGTTTAACTTCTTCCCAAATTCATATGAGAGTAAAAGCTCTTTGGGTGAAAACGTCTCTGTAAACAAGGTGTCCTGGGTGGGACGCAGCAATGGTCTCCTGGGTCTAGTTTCCACAGGTAATGCGCAGATCTCCCAAGGGCAGGGAGCCCGGTTCTGAAAGACCCCGCTGTCACAGACAGTCGCCGTGTCCTTGTTGAGAGGCCTCTAACTCCTGGTGAACGGACTGAGGACTGACCACTCCGAGATAAAAACCCACTTACTCCAGGCATCTCCCCTGCCTGAGAAGACCATTATCCCTGCCACTTCTTTTTCTATTTTTCTTTTGAAATTTTTACTGAACACAAAGGCGACAGCTCCCGTGTGGACATGCCCCGCCCCCCAAAGGCAAGCGGCGCTCCCAGCTTTGTCTCATGTGCTGTGCCTCCCGCCCGGCCTTCCCCGTGGCTGGATGTTCCGTGGGACTCCGAGTCTGTCCTCTGTGGCTCAGGGACCCGCGTGGTCCTCCTGCCTGGCACTTTCCAGAAGGGCTCTGCGGCGCCGCAGGAGGGCCCCCTACCCTCCCTCCACGGCTGAGACACAGGCGGACGCATTCAGGACAACATGTGGGTCCCCAGACGCCCCACGACCTGCTCCTTGATCACAGATGAGTCAGGGACTCGGGACATGGCAACTTTTTAATGCAAAGTCAAGGCGTCAGCACCACCCTCTCCACCCGAGCCGGTCGATGAGAAAGGGGGACATCACAGCCGGTTTGCGTGTTTTTCTAAGCTAGAAAGGAACCCTATTTTGAGGGGAAGCCGTGAATTCAGCACCTTCGCCCCTGGACAAGTTATCAAGGACGAAGGATGGCGATTCTGCAGGTGCCACCCTGGGGGCGGGAGCTGCCCACCCTCAGTCATTGCAGATGGACGGCCTGCTGACGTTGTAGCTGCGGTGGAAGTTCAGCCGGTCGTAGGAGGTGATGTGGTTGTCGGCGCCCGTCACGATGCTCTTCTCCATGAAGACGTTGAAAGAATTGTTCTGGAACATTCCAGTAGCTGCTAGTTGTCTGGAAAATGTATTCGATTTTGCATAGAATGCTTTCTGGAAGCGAAAAGGGAACACGGCGATGCGTGGGGATACTCTTAAGAAGTCACTAGGTATTTTTGGAAGGAAAATTAGAATCCGTAAGAAAATGCCCCTGTTCCTAGGAAGCAGAGAAGCCGAGGCCGGCAGGATGGCCGAGGGTTCCCAGACCGTCCCAAACCATGCCTAACGTCCGGGGTAATGATCAGTGGTGCTTCCACTATGACCCAGACGGAAGGGTCCGTTCCGGGGCCACCTGGGTGTGGTTTCGAGCCCTGACTTGGGGGTCCCACCCAAAGCTGCCCCCAGGTCCTCGTTTACAAACTGCTACTGAGCCAGTCCCGAGATTGTCATCCGCTCGCCTCAGAACTGCCTGCCTTCCGTCTCAAGCCTGGTTGCATGTGTGTGAACAGGGCCAGTCCTTCCGGACATCGTAAGCGAGTCTACGGACGCTTTTTCTCATCCTTGAAAACGGTTCATCACTAGATCCGTGCATTTCTACCTGGCCCCGAGCCAACAGGATCCGGGGTACCCCTCACACTCTGCAAAGTTGGAGTTTTGGGCCCCTCCCTTCCCACCCCCATGGTGTGTTGCCCTTTTGAGGAATCCAGGCTCGAGGTCTCTTCCAGAGACACGCCACCTGCTCCCGAGTGCTTCCTGTTCGGCTTACCGGCATCTCGTGCACCGTGGGGGCTCGGCTCCCGTACACTTGGTTGCTGGTCCTGTACACTGAGGTGGGCTCCTTGGTCCTGGCAGGTGAGAGACACCCTCTACTTCCCGTCCATTTATTCTGATTCTGCCCCAGCCACAACCTTAATGGATCTGGTTGGCGGAGCCTTGTTGGAAATGCCCCGGCTTGGAGATGCAGCTGTGAATGTGGGCTCCTGGGGAGTGCAGCCCCGGCCTCCTGGTCTCCTCTGCTCACCTCTGCCCTTGCCCTTCGCAAGACAGACCAAAGCCCCAGAGAATTTCCAGGGCACAAGGGCTGGTCCTCAGCACCCATCGGCCCTGGCACACGTGGACGTTTCCTGGGTAGGCGGGTAGGCCCAGAGCCGCCAGTCAGGGGGGTCCCTCCACTTCCAAGCCTCCTGAGAATATGCCTGCAGCCCCTAACGCCAACTCGAGTAACAGAGCGGTACGACGGGGTGGGCTGTGGGTTCAGGCATCCCAGCTCGGCCCCATACCATGGCATCTGCCCACCCTCCCGATCCTCTCTCCGGGAAGACGAGGATGATAACAGATCTGGCTCCCTGGGGTTGTAGAGGGGCTGGAGGCGAGGATGATAACAGATCTGACTCCCTGGGGTTGTAGAGGGGCTGGAGGCGGGAGGGCGAGGGAGGTGCCCTCCCTGCCCAGCTGTGATGAGGGGTGACGGTTTTGCAATGCGCTAAACTCTCACAGCGTGACAGCGGACCTGTGGCCAGACGAGCGAGGAGTGGAGACTTACCCCAGCCACAGAACTGGGTGTTGTGGCTTACGCTGGAATCACCCAATGCGGCTGGGCCCACTGACTTGCGTGTCTGAAGCTTAGGGCAGCACTTGCGCAGCCCCTTTGGTGAAGAGCTGACCACAGCTTTCACCTGGTGCCAGGGCAGGCTGGAGACCTCGGGCTCGTGCATGCAGGGCTGCCCCAGCAGAGCGCAGGCCCAGGGGAGCACCTGGCTGCCTGAAGGAAAGCCTCTCCTGCCTTTGCCAGGTGGACCCCACCTGTGGTCCTCACCTGTAGCCGCGGAACCAGGCCGGGTTGTTGAACCTGACCGGCAGGTCCTCGTGTACGCGGTAGTAGTCGCTGGTTTTCTCCAGGGGGGCCTGGACCGGGGGCACCGTGGGCTCCGCGGGCTCCGGGGGCTCCGGGGGCACCGGGGGCTCCGCGCACTCTCGGGGGTTCTCCTCGGACATCCGGTCATCCACGGGAGCCGCGCCAGGAGAAAGGCCAGGAACAGCCTCTCCGCAGCCTGCGCCACGAGAGTCGTGCAGCGTCCGGTTGCTAAGCGACGGCTTGGTCACCTGACTGGCTGGGTCGGGTTCTTAAAGGCCCCGCGCCTCCTGGGCCACGCCCCGCTGCCGGCCGGGGGCGCTGAAATGCGAGGCCTAGAACCCTTGGGGCGAGTACCCAGGGCCCCGCAGGCCCGGATAACAAAGCATCACTTCTTGGGGTGCAGTGCAGGGTACCCGGGATGCGTGCGGGGCGGGCCGTCACCGTCCCGAAACTGTCCCAAATGAGGGGGAAGGCAGGCATCGGGGCTCCATCAGCGACCTGCCGGAGCTCGAGTTACGCGAGGCCGCTCCGCACGCCAAGGCCCCGACTCTCATCGTGCACGCCAGGGGTGCTCCCTGACCCCTCCGTGCACGCCGGGGGTGCTCCCTGACCCCACCGTGCACGCCGGGGGTGCTCCCTGACCCCTCCGTGCACGCCGGGGGTGCTCCCTGACCCCTCCGTGCACGCCGGGGGTGCTCCCTGACCCCTCCGTGCACGCCGGGGGTGCTCCCTGACCCCACCGTGCACGCCGGGGGTACTCCCTGACCCCACCGTGCACGCCGGGGGTGCTCCCGGACCCCTCCGTGCACGCCGGGGGTGCTCCCTGACCCCTCCGTGCACGCCGGGGGTGCTCCCGGACCCCTCCGTGCACGCCGGGGGTGCTCCCTGACCCCTCCGTGCACGCCGGGGGTGCTCCCGGACCCCACCGTGCACGCCGGGGGTGCTCCCTGACCCCTCCGTGCACGCCGGGGGTGCTCCCTGACCCCACCGTGCACGCCGGGGGTGCTCCCTGACCCCGAGACTTCGTGCCCTCCAGCGCCCAGAGTCTGCATTTCGACTCCAGACTTGCCTAACTTTATGGAATCCTCCTATACTAAGTACTGTTTAAAAATTAAAACGATTTTGGAGAGCGAGGGGGTCAGACGGGCCGGAGGTGAGGAGAGTCCCTCGGCCCTGCGGGTTCCCTCGGTGCCCTCGGCCGGCAGGCACTGTGCAGGGAAGGGGCGAGCGAGAGGGCGAGGGGCCCCCCGGTCCGCACCTCCGTCCTCGCGCGTCCGCGGTGCCGGGCGGCGGCGAGCACACGTCGGGCTCAATGCCTCGCGCATCCCCGGGACGGAGGCATGGACGCCTCGGGAGCTGGGCCTGGGGCGAGGCGAGGGGCGGGCAGTGGCACCTCCGGGCCTGCAGGCGGCGGTGCGGCGGGGGCGCGGGCCGCGGCGGAAGAAGAAGCCGCTCTGGCACCGCGCCCGCCTCCTCCGCACCATGGCGCCGGCCCTGCCCCGCCTGCTGAGCGCGGGTGAGTGTGCCCGGGCCCCGGCGCCCCGGCCCGCAGCCTGGCCTCCCCGGGACCCCCGCCCCCGGCCCGCACGCCGGCCTCCCGGGACCCCCGCCCCCGGCCCGGCCTCCCCGGGACCCCCGCCCCGCCCCCGGCCCGCAGGCTGACCTCCCGGGGACCCCCGCCCCCGGCCCGCAGCCTGGCCTCCCCGGGACCCCCGCCCCCGGCCCGGCCTCCCCGGGACCCCCGGCCCCGCCCCCGGCCCGCAGGCTGACCTCCCGGGGACCCCCCGCCCCCGGCCCGCAGCCTGGCCTCCCCGGGACCCCCGCCCCCGCCCCGCAGCTTGGCCTCCCGGGACCCCCGCCCCCGGCCCGGCCTCCCCGGGACCCCCGCCCCCGCCCCCGCCCCGCAGACCGGCATCCCCGGGACCCCCGCCCCCGGCCCGCAGGCCGGCCTCTCCGGGACCCCCGCCCCGCCCCGCAGCCTGGCCTCCCCGGGACCCCCTCCCCGCCCCCGGCCCGCAGGCTAACCTCCCGGGGACCCCCGCCCCCGGCCCGCAGGCTGGCCTCCCCGGTACCCCCTCCCCGCCCCCGGCCCGCAGGCTAACCTCCCGGGGACCCCCGCCCCCGGCCCGCAGCCTGGCCTCCCCGGGACCCCCGCCCCCGGCCCGGCCTCCCCGGGACCCCCTGCCCGCCCCCGGCCCGCAGGCTGACCTCCCGGGGACCCCCGCCCCCGGCCCGCAGCCTGGCCTCCCCGGGACCCCCGCCCCCGCCCCGCAGCTTGGCCTCCCGGGACCCCCGCCCCCGGCCCGGCCTCCCCGGGACCCCCCGCCCCCCCCGCCGCCCCAGGCCCGCAGGGCTAACCTCACCGGGACCCCCCGCACCCGGCAGCGCCGGCATCTCCGGACCCCCTCCCCGCCCCCAGGCCCGCAGCCTGGCTTCCCCGGGGACACTCCCAGCCCACCGGACCGCAGGCTAACCTCCCGGGGACCCCCGCCCCACGGCCCGCAGGAGGCCTCCCCGTACCCCCTCCCCGCCCCCGGCCGCATGGCTAACCTCCCGGGACCCCTCCCCGGCCCGCAGCCTGGCCTCCCCGGGACCCCCGCCCCCCGGCCCGCATCCCTGGCCTCCCCGGGACCCCCGCCCCGGCCCGCAGGCTGGGCTCCCCGGTACCCCCTCCCCGCCCCGGCCCGCAGGCTAACCTCCCGGGGACCCCCGCCCCCGGCCCGCAGGCTGGCCTCTCCGGTACCCCCTCCCCGCCCCCGGCCCGCAGGCTAACCTCCCGGGGACCCCCGCCCCCGGCCCGCAGCCTGGCCTCCCCGGGACCCCCGCCCCCGGCCCGCAGCCTGGCCTCCCCGGGACCCCCACCCCCGGCCCGCAGGCCGGCCTCCCCGGGACCCCGCGCCCTGACTGCGCCCCGCTCTCTCCGCAGGTGCTTGGCCCAGGCCGCTCGGGCTGCGCCTCCTCGAGGCGGCGACCCCGGGCCCGGCCGGGCCGAGCTGCAGGACTCTGGGGAGCGCCACGGCCCCCGCCGCGAGCCAGCCGGAGGGCCCCGGCGGTAATGCAGGCCCCTGGGCAGACGGGGCGGGCGGGCTCGCAGGTCTCCCCAGTTTGGGTTGAAATCGGCTGCCCCCGGAGTCCCCCTTGGTTTAGTTGTGAAGCCACGTCCGAGTCGAGGGAGGAGCAGGGGTGGCCTGTCCCCCAGCAGCCCCACGGGCTAGGTGCTGAGCCCTGCAAACGGGCCTTCGAGTCACCCCCACTGGCCCTGAGCGGCCGCCCCCCGGCTGAGAAAGGGCCAAGCTCTGGCCGGCGTAGCTCAGCGGTTAGAGCGGCGGCCCGCAGACCCGTGAGTTCCGGGTTCGGTTCCAGTCGAGGGCATGGACCTGGGTTGCAGATTCAATCCCCAGCCCCAGCTGGGTCGTGTCTCTCGCTTCGATGTTTCTCTCTCTCTCCCTTTTTCCCACTCTACCTGATGATAAATAGAAAAAATATATATTCCCAGGTGAAGATTTAAAAAAATAAAGGAACAGGGTCAAGACAGGCACCTCCTGCCCGGGCGGGGTCAGGGGGTAGTGCAGGGCACTTCTTGCCCCGGGAGGGACCGGAAGGACCTCAGAAACCTGCTGGGCCCAGGACCGGTGCCATGGTCGGAGCCCCGCCTCTGCACCGAGTCTCCTGAGGGACCCTATGGGCTGGGGCGCTGAGACCCAGCTTCCGTCCCCGCAGACCTCCAGGACAGGGTCCTCAGTGAGCCGCTCAAACACGCCGACTTCTTCAACGTCAAGGAGCTGTTTTCTGTGAGGAGCCTCTTCAATGCCCGGGTGCACCTGGGACACAAAGCCGGCTGTCGGCACAGGTGGGCGATGGCTCCCCCAGCTTTGGGACCCCCTGCCCTGGGGTGCAGGGTCGCTCTGTACTGGCATGTGTCAGTTTGTCTGTGTACAGCCCCTCCTCCAGATGGGACCCCTGGGCCCTGAGGGGGGCGGGGGTTTGTCCTCAGACCCGGCTTGTAGCTCTACCCAACCCCAGCCCAACTCCCTACCTTAGAGCCTGGTCGGGACGGGTGGTGCAGTGAGCAGGGAGGGGTGGTAACTGGCCGCATGGAGCATGGATCAGGACCAGAGGGGCTGGAGGGGCAGGTGGGTGGCCAGCGAGGAAGGTAGACACGCAGAGAAAGGTGACACGGCCTGACTCCCGGGGACGGAAGAGCTGGGACCGGGGGTGAGAGTTGGGGTCCCGGGGCTGGGGCTGGAGGTGGGGGAAGGAGGCCAGAGCAGGGGGAGGCTGGGGAACATCAGGAGCTTGCGTCCCGTGAGAGGTGACACCTTGGCCACCCCAGTGTGGATGTCACGTGGGTGCTGGGAGGGAGCAGCCTGGTCCTGGCGTGCCGGCACATCGGGGCGCATCTGGAGAGGAGGGAGGTCCCAGCGGGAGCGGGCAGGCAGGAGGACAGGCCGCGCGGTGGAGGCTGCCGAGCAGTCGCGTGAGGGGAGGTGAGGTGGGGGCCGTGGGCAGAGTCTGTTGAGCGGATGCGACAAGAGCAGGTGGGAGCGAGCTGACGTGCAGGTGAGGCCAAGGGACCCGCCCGTGCAGATGGCACAGCAAGAGCTGGGGGCAGACATCCCTCCTGCCCACTGGCCCTCTGTGCCCTCGGGGTTCCCTGCACGGGCCTGGCTGGCCCGTCCTCACCCCTCAGGCCTGCAGCCTGGGGCGCCTCCCCTCTGCTGGTCCTTCAGCCCAGCCGCAGAGGGACCTGTCACAAAGCCTCGAGAACAGTAACGGCGACTCGCACGGCTGTGGGATGAGCGGTGGGCAGAGCACCCTGTTGACGTGTTTAGACGCCCCAGCTCGTGGAGGACGAGCCGTGCTAGGGTCCCCACGGGACGAGCCGCAGCTTCCAAGGCCAGGCCACTTGCCTGACACTTGGAAGTGGCCTGCCCCCCTCACTCCCCACGCCACCCCCGTCTGCCCCGCCGGCCATCACTCCTGTCTGTCCACAGTCCCGGGGGTGGGGTGCCCCCTCGGGGCCAGAAGGGCCCTGCTCACTCGCCGGGGGTTGCGCAGGTTCATGGAGCCCTACATCTTCGGGACCCGCCTGGGCCAGGACATCATTGACCTGGAGCAGACGGCCGAGCACCTGCAGCTGGCCTTGAACTTCACGGCCCACGTGGCCTACCGCAAGGGCATCATCTTGTTCGTGGGCCGCAACCGCCAGTTCTCACACCTGATCGAGGACACGGCCCGGGCCTGTGGCGAATACGCCCACACCCGCTACTTCAAGGGCGGGCTGCTGACCAACGCGCCCCTCCTGCTGGGCCCCGGGGTCCGCCTGCCGGACCTTCTCATCTTCCTGCACACGCTCAACAACGTCTTCGAGCCCCACGTGGCCGTGAGAGACGCCGCCAAGATGAACATCCCCACGGTGGGCGTCGTGGACACCAACTGCAACCCCTGCCTCATCACGTACCCCGTGCCCGGCAACGACGACTCACCCCCGGCCGTCCAGCTGTTCTGCTCGCTGTTCCGGGCCACCGTCAACCGGGCCAAGGAGAAGCGGAGGCAGGTCGAGGCCCTGTATCGACTGCAGAGCCAGGAAGGGGCCCAGGGCCGGGATCCTGCCGACCCTCCATCCCCGGGGACCCAGGCTCGGCGGGATGTGGGTCGTTCAACGTGACGTGTCCGCTCTTCTTCCAAATAAAAACAGCAGCCAAGCCCGGCCGGCGTGGCTCAGTGGATGGAGCTCGTCCCATGGATTGAGGTCCAGTTCGATCCCGGTCAGGGCACATGCCTGGGTTGTGGGCTTGGTCCCCAGGACGGGGCGTGCAGGAGGCAGCTAGTCGATGTTTCTCCCCTGCCTCTCTAAAAAATCAATAAAAAACATCATAAAATGTACAGCCACGCCCTGACCAGTGCGGCTCAGCAGTTAGAACACCGGCCTGCAGACCAGAGTCCCAGGTTCGATTCCGGCCAAGGGCACGGACCTCAGTTGCAGTCGTGTGGGTGGCAATCAGTTGTGTCTCCATCACATCGCTCGCTCTCTCTGTCTCCCTCCCTCCTTCCCTTCTGCTCTGTCTGAAGATAAATGGGAAAATATCCTCAGGTGAGGATTTTTGAAAAAGCTGCAGCCAAGCCTGCTCCTGGGCTGAGAAGCCCTCCCGCCCTGGCTAGTCCTTGCTGGGTCCCATCGGGTCCCCAGCCTTGCCGTCTGAGGCTGGTGGCAGGTCTGGGCGGCTGCCTCCCGCAGCTCCGGCAGCCCCACCGGCCCAGGAAACACTGGTCCCCGGAGTCTAACCTCCACCTTGAGATCTGTGCTTTGCACGTCAGGCTTTATCCTCCACCACAGTGGTCATGGCTGGGCTGCTTCCCTGCTGTCTGCTTTCGGGGCTGCTCTGTAGCGAGGGTGTAGGGCAGGCCGCGCAAGACCCCGTGTGGGCTGGGGCAGGACAGCAGAGCAGACGGCATGATTCCGACAGAAGGAAAGCTCAGGTTCGGGGGAACGTGGCTCGGCAGCGTGGTCTGTGGCCGTGCTGGCAGAGGCTCGTGTCCCCACCAGGCCCTGGAGCACAAGGCCCCTGCACAAGGTCCTCGGCTTTGAGGAGGCAGGGGTGTGGATGTGCGGTTTGGACGGGACTACAGAGGTGCCAACTGCCTCTCAAAGCCACCATCTTCAGTGTTGGGGCTCAGAGGCCCGCATGACCCACCCACAGGCCAGGCCACCCTGAGTGGGCACCCTCTCCACAGGTCAGGGAGGACTTCTCCGGCCACACTGGGCTGAGTGCCAGCCTGTGGCCCAGCATCCATGCTGCCCTGTACCTGACCCCAGCGACCTCTCTGCTGGGAGGGGTGTGGGGGCGGGGCGGCCCTGTGGCTGGACATGGGCACAGGAAGATGAGTCCCAAGAGTCCATCCACCTCGCAGGTTGGGGGCGGGGAACGGCGTGTGGTCCGGGAGGCATAGGGAAGTGAGTGCCGCTGGGAAGCCACGCGTGAGCATCGTCACTGACACACGAGAGGACGGGAGGTACATGTGGGCCTGGCGTGCGGTGAGCTGAGCTCCGGGAGAGCCGCCCGGCGCCGGAGGGGCCGCTGGCATCAGAACACGGAATCAAACTGCTAGCCCAGGAGCCCAGGAGTCCCGGACCTCGGGAGGCGGAGGTGGCAGAGGTCGCCCCCTCAGGAGCACCTTTAGGGAGGGGGTTCCAGGCAGGGACGTGCAGAGAAGCTCAGACACGGAAGACGAGGGATTGGCCCAGCTCTGCTGTCCTGACCAAGGGGCGGGGTGGAGGGAGCAGCCCTGGGGCGGTGTCCATGCCAAAAGACCCTGGCTGCCTGCCTGGAGCGGCCCCCTCCACGCCCCGCAGGGACCCTGTGGCTGGCCTGCCTGGCCCCTGCCTCCCTGTGCCCTGGGACCACAGGCACAGGAGTTTGTGGCGGTCATGTGCCCGGCCACAGTTCCAGTCCCGGACGGGTGGCCGGACGGGTGGCCCGAGCGAGGGGACTGCAAGGCTCAACGAGCCTGGAGCACGGGCGGCGAGCGCAGAGGCACCAGCCGCTTCTGAGCTGACTCGGTGGTGATGGCGGGGGGGCTCCTGAGGGGCTCAGGAGAGTGGGCTTCAACCCCATGGACGGAACCTCCAAGTTTACCACCCTGGAGATGAACCCCAGGAGAGCCCAGAGCAGCCAAAGGAGATGGTGAGGGTGCCCGACGCTCCGGAGAGGCAGGGGCTGGCCCCCCGAGTCCCCCTCCTGCTGCCCTCGTGCCTGACGTGCCCGTTAGACCTGACCTCTGAGCCCTGGCAGGGCCGGGCCCTGTCCAGCCAGTGTCGCTGCGGGACTAGTTAGAGCCACCAGAGCAAGGCCTGGAGTAGCTGGGTGAGGGCAGGAGCCCGTGCCCCCGGGAGGGCCCGGGAGCCGGTGGTGAGAGTGGCCACAGGGGCTCCGACGGGCCTGGAGAGGGCCAGGGAAGGCCTCTTGCCCAGGCCTCTGGGGTCCAGCCCAGGGCTTTGCCTCCTGAGTGGCCACAGTCCCAACCTATGGAGTTGGGGTCCTCCCTCCCTCCACCCCTGCCATCACGCCACAGCCTGGCCAAGTCCGAAGTCACATCTTTCCTTACAGCCCCTGGCGCTTCAAGGGCCGCGCAGCTCCCCCCCTTCCTGCATTTCCCCGTCCCTCCTTCACCAAGTGGCCCAGGGTAAACACCAGCCAGCCGGGCACATGCACCAGCCTCGCAGGGTGCGGACGGTGAAGGGCGGTGCAGCTCCCCCCCTTCCTGCATTTCCCCGTCCCTCCTCCACCAAGTGGCCCAGGGTAAACACCAGCCAGCCAGCGCACGAGCCCCGCAGGGTGCGGACGGTGAAGGCAGGCACGCGGAGAAGCTGGTGGAGCACCTGGTGCCAGCCTTCCCGGGCAGCAACCTCTCCTACGTCACCATCTTCCTGTGCACCTACCGGACCTTCACCACCACCCAGCAGGTCCTGGACCTGCTGTTCAGGAGGTGAGCCCCCTGCAGACGGGAATGCCGCGTCACCTCTCTGGGCCTCAGTCTGCCCACGTGAAAACCGTGCCAAGAGCGCAGCCCCCCGGGTCGTCAGGACAGGGGGAGCTGCCCGGGCTGTGCTGGTTTTTCTCTTTTGTTTCCTCCTTTATTGACTTTAGAGAGGAAGGGAGAGGGAGAGAGAGAGAAACATCGCTGAGAGAGAACATCGATGGGCTGCCTCCTGCACGCCCCCCACTGGGGATCCAGCCCACCACCTGGGCACGTGCCCTGACCGGGAATTGAACCGGCGACCTCTTGGTGCAGGGTCGATGCTCAACCACGGCGCCACCCCGGCCGGGCACTGGGCTGGTTTTTCTCTCTCCTGCCCCGAATAGCTCTCTGCCTCAAGCCTCGCCGTCCTGTGCCCTGGGGTGAAACGTCTTCCCATTTGAATAGAGGTCCCAGATTCTATCTGGGGGTCCCCTCCATGAGGAGCCAGTGCAGGGGCCCCTGGGGGCGGGCTGAGGGGCCCCAGACCCACTCAGATATCTGTGAGGTGCCGGCTGGGGCTCATTCATTCCACAAACGTATGTGAAACCATCCTGTGTGCGGGCACTTTCCTGGGCACGGAACACAGCTCAGTGCAAAAGGCAGATAAGTCCCTGCCCTGCAGGTCCCCGTCCCAGTGGGGGGCAGGTAGCTAGTACCCCCAGATATCACAGCAGGTACAGTCGATGTGACGCCCTCATGGCCTCCTCTAGATACTGATGCACCCTCCCCTATTCCCACGAGGACGGCAGACCCCAGGACCCCCAAGAAAGTGAGTGGACTCCGGTCTGCTGGGCGGGCCTCCTGTCTCCGTGGTGGGGACACTTGGGGGCCGAGGCTGCAGGGCTGGTCAGACCCTGGCTCCCACACATCAGCACGCGTGTCACAGAGAACAGGGCAGCACGTGGGCACGCGCTGAGGCTGAGGTGCCGCGAAGGCTGGCAGGACACACTTGGCCGGTCCCCCTCCCAGTCATGTTTAGGCAGCACCTACTGAGTGCCAGTCTGTGCCATGAACAGAGCAGGCCAGCCCCTCCCTGGCCTCGTGGGGCATACGGTCCAGTGGGAGGGACCGGGGACAGACAGGGGTGTGTCAGGCTTCCCTGCGGCAGGAGAGGTGGTCACACCGTTGATGGAGGGCACCCTCCCCGGAGACTGCCAGCCCCTGCCTGGGCACCAGGCCCTGAGTCCAGCCCCCACAAAGGTGCCACAGGAGGGCCACGTGGAAGAAGAGGCCAGGCCTCTGATTCTGTAGTCCCCCCCTCCACCCACCCCAGTGCCATCTCCTCCATCCTGGGCACCTGGCTGGACCAGTATTCGGAGGACTTCTGCCAGCCCCCGGACTTCCCCTGCCTCAAGCAGCTGGTGGCCTACGTGCAGCTCAACATGCCTGGCTCCGACCTGGAGCGCCGTGCCCACCTCCCCCAGGCTCGGCTGGAGCGCCGTGCCCACCTCCCCCTGGCTCGGCTGGAGCGCCATGCCCACCTCCCCCTGGCTCGGCTGGAGCGCCGTGCCCACCTCCCCCTGGCTCGGCTGGAGCGCCGTGCCCACCTCCCCCAGGCTCGGCTGGAGCGCCGTGCCCACCTCCCCCAGGCTCGGCTGGAGCGCCGTGCCCACCTCCCCCTGGCTCGGCTGGAGCGCCGTGCCCACCTCCCCTGGCTCGGCTGGAGCGCCGTGCCCACCTCCCCCTGGCTCGGCTGGAGCGCCGTGCCCACCTCCCCCTGGCTCGGCTGGAGCGCCGTGCCCACCTCCCCCTGGCTCGGCTGGAGCGCCGTGCCCACCTTCTCCAGGCTCGGCTGGAGTGCCGTGCCCACCTCCTCTTGATCAGGCTGGAGGGCCTGCAGCCCAAAGGTGAGCACATGAGGAGGGGTCGCTGCCAGACAGACAGAGGCTGGCATCGGGCCAGGAGCAAAGGCTGGTCTCAGCCGTGGTGGCTCGAGCTCTGTCTGGAAGGCCCCTTGCGAGGCAGGCAGCTGGAGCTTCTCCTCACTGCTTCCCTGGCGTCGTGGGATCCAGGGTGGGGGTGGGAGGCTCCAGCACAGCTCCACACAAACCGAAGGTCCAGGTTCAGCTACAGAAGCAGCAACCGGAGTAGAGCCAGCGGGAGAGCTGCAGGCGTTTCCATCAGCAGCCATGGCGCCCTCCACAGGACCACCAGAGTCAGGGCCAACACCCCAGTGGCCGCATCAGCAGCTCTGCCTCTAGGCCTGTCCTGCAGCAGCACCCAGAGGAGAGCCAGAGCTGACACAGGACCCACCACACCTGCTGGGAGGCCCTGCATCCGCATCCGCACCCGCATCTGCACCTGCTCCGGCTCCTGCACCTGCACTTGCTCCCGCACCTGCTCCGGCTCCTGCACCTGCACTTGCACCTGCACCGGCTCCAGCTCCTGCACCTGCTCTAACTCCAGGACCTGCACCCACACCTGCTCCGGCTCCTGCACCTGCACTTGCACCCGCACCTGCTCCAATTCCTGCACCTGCAATTGCACCCACACCTGCTCCAGCTCCTGCACCTGCACTTGCACTCACACCTGCTCCAGCTCCTACACCTGCACTTGCACTCACACCTGCTCCAGCTCCTGCACCTGCTCCTACACCTGCTCCAACTCCTTCACCTGCACTTACACCCACACCTGCTCCGGCTCCTGCACCTGCTCCAACTCCTGCACCTGCTCCAGCTCCTGCAGGGGCCCTGAGCTGACACAGGACCCACCATACCTGCCGGGAGGACCTGCATCTGCACCTGCTCCAGCTTCAGGGGCCCCAGGAGCTGCACTGGACCCTCCAGTCCTGAAGGGGGAGCTGGCTCTGGAACCTTCCTCAGTGTCAGCTGTGGAACCTCTTCAGCCTGCTCCCCCACCAGAATTTTCTTTACCCTCCCTTTGCAGACTTTTCCTTTTGATTATTTTTAAATTTTGTTTTCCTTTTATGTTCTCTATGGTGCTATTTGTTTTAAACTAGAAATTGTTTTCATTTTAAATTGTGCAATTCCTGAGCATGAAGGACATTCACAACGCTGGGCACCCAGCTTCAGTATCTCGGGCAGAATGCTGCATCTTCCCGAAAGAAAACCTGCCCAGATGCAGCCCCTCCTCCCGCCGGCAGCCCCACCCGTCCCTGTCCCTGTCCCTCTTCTGCACGGTCCTGTCAACGGCGGAGTCTCACCACAGGTACCTGTGTGTCTGCCATGTATCTTTTTCTCTGTGTTCATTTGAAACAGCATCTTTGTTCTTTGAAAGGGAAATCCCAGATTAACAGATGTGCAAAAAGAAGCCCTTTCAGTAAACCTGTGTATCATCTCGGGGTAGAGATTGCGGTGCTGAGTGTGACCCCAGAGCCAGAGCCAGTCGGAACTGCCCGAAACAGAAACAACCCAGATGCAGAAAGCCGGGAAGACCAACCGCGAACTGGAAAGCTTTCTGCACAGCCCCCGGCCGAGACGGGTGTAACGTCCTGGGTGCAGAACACGCGGAAGTCAGTGTTTCAGGAAGGGACGAGGGGCAGACAGATGTGCAGGTCCACCCAGAGGCAGTACCGTCGGAGATGCCCGACCTCCCCCAGGGGACACACCGTCAGCACGGCGGAGGGAGCACGGTCACCATCAGATTGGCAGGCGGCTGGTCTGGTGAGGAAGCAGAGGCCCCAGCAGGTCCCCTGGAGAGAAGTGGGCAAGGCCTGTCCTCCTGGAGAACAGGGCACAGGGCACAGGGCACAGGGCCCAGCTATGTCCCACAGGCCTCACTGTCACCAGGCGGCACTCGTCCGGGAGGTCACCCCGCAGACGTTCTTGCACAGTGTGTACGTGTGTGTGTGCGCGCACGCGCAGCTGTGGGTGTTGGGCAGGGAGGACTCCCAGGTGAGTGCCCTTCGGGAACCTCATTCCCTGGGGGTGGACCCTGCCAATCAGTCCTCTCTCTCCTTGGCATTTTCTGTGACGCCGAATCAGCGTTTCCAAAGAGCTACTGCTGTGGAGCGTGGGCCATTCTGATTTTCACAGACTCAGGCTGAACGAACATCTGTGTCTACAACATTTAGTGCAGGATCCATGACGTGGAGTTTCTGGTCAGAAGTCCAGTTTTCAAGTTATGGGCCACAGTTTCCAGAAAAGAAGTCTCTGTGCACTGTGAGCCTTGTTGGGAAAGCAGGGTGCAGACCGGCGCTGAGACCTCGGGGCGGGGAGGGGCGGGAGTGCAGGGCTGGAGGCACAGGAGGGGCGCCTAGCAGGAGGTCCAGCCCTCAGCCCTCTGTCCTTGCGCCCGCTGGTGATGTGGACGAGGCCTGACGCCTACACTAGAGCTGATGCTGGAGCTGGCTCTCGCCCAGAAGCTGGCTCTATCCTAGAACTGGCGCTGGCGCTGGAGCTGGAGCTGGAGCTGGAGTGGCTCTGGCTCTATGGTTGGCACGAGTCCTAGTTCTGGGAAAGGTGCTGGCAGGGGATCGATCTCCAGAGCCAGTCTGGACCTGGTTCTGCAGTTGCATATAGCTCTGGAGTTGAGTGGGTGCCAGAGTGGCTTGAGCTATGGATCTGGTTGGTCCTGGAGCTGCCTGGAGCTCTGGGGCTAGTGGACAGCTGATGCCAGAACTCATCACGGATCCAGCTGTGGAGAAGGTGCAGGAGCTGGCCCTGGTATGAAAGCTGGTGCTGGCGCCGGCTCTGGCTTTGGAGTCGGCTCTAACTCAGGTTCTATTGCTAGACCTGGTTCCCGTGGCTCTAGTCATGTGGCCACTCCGAGCTCTAGCTCTGCAGCTGGTTGTAGCTCTGGCGCTGGCTCCATCTCCATCTCCAGAATCAGTGTCAGGGCAGATCCTGGCACTGGAGCTGACGCTAGAGCAGGCATGGGGTCTGGCACAGGCACCGGTGATAGACCTGCCTCCATCTCTGGCACTGGCAGTAGAGTGGTGCCAGAGCATGGCCTGACTCTGGTGCTGGTGCTGGAGCTGGTGCTAGAGCCGGCTGTAGTGCTGGGGCTTTTCCTAGAGCCAGTGCTGGAACTAGCCCTAGCTCTGGGGTGGATACTAGAGCTGGAGCTGGAGCTGGAGCTGGAGCCGGCTGTAGTGCTGGGGCTTTTCCTAGAGCCAATGCTGGAACTAGCCCTAGCTCTGGGGTGGATACTAGAGTGGGTGCTGGAGCCGGTGCTGGAGCTGGAGCTGGAGCTGGAGCTGGAGCTGGAGCTGGAGCTGGAGCCGGCTGTAGTGCTGGGGCTTTTCCTAGAGCCAGTGCTGGAACTAGCCCTAGCTCTGGGGTGGATACTAGAGCTGGAGCTGGAGCTGGAGCTGGAGCTGGAGCCGGCTGTAGTGCTGGGGCTTTTCCTAGAGCCAGTGCTGGAACTAGCCCTAGCTCTGGGGTGGATACTGGAGCTGGAGCTGGAGCTGGAGCTGGAGCTGGAGCCGGCTGTAGTGCTGGGGCTTTTCCTAGAGCCAGTGCTGGAACTAGCCCTAGCTCTGGGGTGGATACTAGAGCTGGAGCTGGAGCTGGAGCTGGAGCCGGCTGTAGTGCTGGGGCTTTTCCTAGAGCCAATGCTGGAACTAGCCCTAGCTCTGGGGTGGATACTGGAGCTGGAGCTGGAGCTGGAGCCGGCTGTAGTGCTGGGACCTTTCTTAGACCCAATGCTGGAACTAGCCTTAGTTGGGGGGTGGATACTAGAGCTGGTGCTGGAGCTGGAGCTGGCTGTGGTGCTGGGCCTTTTCATGAGCTAATGCTGGAACTAGCCTTAGTTGTGGGGTGGATACTGGAGCTGGTGCTGGAGCTGGCTCTAACTCTAGAACTGTTGCAAGAGCTGGTACTGGAGCTGGCACCACCTCTGGAGCTGGTACTACATCTAGCTGTTGGGCTTGGGCCAGAGATGGCTCCAGCTCCACGGCTGGTGCTGGATCTGCCCGAGGCGATGCTAGCTTGGGAGCTGGTGGTCGAGCTGGCGCCAGAGCCGGCACTGGAGCTGCAAGAGGACAAGAGTTCACCAGCACGGCTGCCTTCCAAACCCAGAGAGCACCCCGCTGCCTTCCAGAGAAGCTGCAGCCCAGGAACCCACTCTGGGACGTCTTCCCAAACTGCGGGCAGTGGGTGTGTGTGCATGCGTGCGTGTGTGTGTGTATGTGTGTGTGCAAGTGTGTGTGGACTAAATCTCCTTGCCTTATCTCATAGAATACGTAACTTAAGATGCATCAGTAACAGTTAACTTCACACAACAGTGTTTACGTTACAGGGTATCGGGAGAGCGTGACATCACCCAGGACTTCGCATCCTCCTTAGGGACAGTATTTGTGGTTTGCGTGTACACAGGACAGCTGCACCGTGTCTTGGTAGAGATTAAATATGGCTCAAGGACATGTGTGGTGCCAGGGAGAGGGTGGGTGGCTGTGCCGGTCAGTCCTCTGTCGACCTGACCCGCCTTCGAGTGCGGTCATTTCACTAGGCTGGACACGTCATCTGCGTGTTGCTGTGGATGGATTCTGTAGGTGTAGTTCACGTGCACAGTTCAGTTGACGTGACGTGAAGGAGAGTACTGTCAACGTGGGTGGGCCTCACCAGCCAAAGGCCTTAGAGCAAGAGCAGCCCTGGCCGGTTTGGCTCAGCGGTTAGAGCGTCGGCCTGCGGTCCTGAGAGACCTGGGTTCGGTTCCCACTAAGGGCATGTACCTCGGTTGCAGTTTGTCCCCGGCCCCGGTTGGGGTCGAGTGGGTGGCAACCACTCGATGTGTCTCTCTCACATCGACGTTTCTCTCTCTTTCTCCCTCTCTCCCTCCCACTCTATCTGAAGATAAATGCAAAAATGTCCTCGAGTCAGGATAAAAAGAAAAAAGAGCAAGAGCAGGTTTAGCGGAG